GTCAGCCCCACATGCAGTGGCTGGTACATTAGAGCCCGAGTGGTCAGTGGCGGTGTCAGCCCCACATGCAGTGGCTGGTACATCAGAGCCTGAGTAGTCAGTGGCTGTGTCATTAAGGACTGGGTTGTTCAGAGCTATGTCTAGGGTGTCTTTAAATGAAAGAGACTTCCGAGCTCTCGATTTCTTTGTCAAGGACAAACTGCTGCTTTGGGCTAGTTCATTATACCGAGATTCCCATTCACTATGGTCGTATTTGAAGTTTTCTCTGGGATCGCTCAAGCCATCAACCTTGGTTCCATGGTTTTTGATATGCCAAGTAATCTTTCCCAAAGATTTTCTCGAACAGATCAACCATGATAAAAATCCAGTACTGGTCATCGGCTGACCATTCAGCACTTTTATTTTGCCATCCACAGCCTCGGTAAAAGAACTTTGCTTTACCTTGACAAAAAAAAAAAAAGAGAGACTCCAAATAAATGTCTTAGCCTCAGGCCCCAAATCTTGCACTGATAAATAAAAAAATAAGAAAATTATTAAACCTTCTTATTGCTTGATAACTTACTTTGATATCAATTTTAATTATTCTTCCTTATAACAAGATAAGATAAGATACTAATAATAATGTTTCCCATAGGTCTCATTTCATTCTTTCTTAGATTTATTTCTGAATTTTAACTTTTAGACTAAGACATTACAATTTTTAATAGTTGCATTATTATGAAATCATCTCTTAGAGTCAAACTACTTCAAGTGTAAACACATAGAGCTCATTAAGTTACTTTATTTTTGGAATCTTGATTAATGATATGATTAATAGATTTGCACATTCATTATTGAATTCATTATTCGTCTTTTGAAACTTTTATTTATTATTCGTATTTATTCTATTTCTTATTATTCTTTTGAATATCGAATACTTCTTCTTAACAATGAATATTCGAATCGAATAATCGAATGAAGATTCCAAAAATAAAATCATTAATGAGCTCTACGTGTTCACGCTTGAGGTAATTGGACTGTAATAGACCTAATAATCTCATAATAATTCAACTGCAAATGAACGGTCATTTTAATTTTCGAAATAGACCTGATGTATCCTATCACCTTAACATCAAAAATGTCAATCTTCTCATCTTCATCATCATCATACATTTCCTCTCTCATTACAAGGTCGATCTCTTTCCATCCTTCAAATACCTTAAAAATTAGAAAAACAAGAATACTAAACATTATAGTCTTTTCTTTCAGATCAAGATCATCTTAAATCTAGACATGTAATTTATGAACCTGTTTGAAGCAATCAATTTGTAGTTCTGCTGCAAGTTCAGCCATTCCTTTGTTGTCAAAGTTTTGTGACTTCTTTGTCACCTTTGATTTCTTTTTTGGAGGAGAGGAAAAGACAGTCTGCTCCTTCGCCAAAAAGCAATCTTCTATGGTTGTCAGTTTTTCTTTCCAGGCAAATTCTTTGAATACTGATTACAGAAAAAAAAGATCAAAAGATCAAAACAAAACAAACAAAACAAAACAAACAAAACAAGTGAATAAAGCCACTCTCAATGCAATTTAGCTATTGTGTTATAAAAAATATATGTTTATTTTAAAAATTTCACCAAAATATGATTGAAATAAAAAGATTGAATGTAATTTAAGA